TGCTGTAGTCATCATTCCAGAGTCATGCCCATCACAATAAACACAGCATGGCATGGATCAAGGGTACTTCCTGATATCTATTCCCATCAAAGCAAATGTGAGAATATACCAACAAGGTCCTTGCAGCCAACTTACAAAAGATGAGGTGACCACCATCCACAGTCAGAAACTGTCCTTGGTGTCTTTATTCACATCGACTCATCAGCCATGACAGATTATAAATCTTCCTAGTATCTCTGAGATACTAGGTTCACAGTCTCTAACCTTATCATGCTAAGGTACAAGGCATCTTGAGAACTGGATCTTCATGAAAGACCATGCAAAGGGAGGAAAAGCATGTGCAGAGTTTCATTTGATTCCAGGAATTACTCAACCCCTGAAGCTGACTAGTGAACTTCCTGATCAAATGGTCTTTCTTTGTCAACCCTCTAGTCTTTTATCCAACAAAGTTATTTTGAGCAGTATAAGTGCACCATAAATACCTAGCTAGAGTAAATCAACTCATTGTTTCTTCATCTTGGATACATATCATTTAATCCTCCTGTCTAATTGAAACACTGAACCCTCCATGTTTTGTGTATTTTATTGTTTGGTTGGTTGGTTTTCTGAGACAGGGTATCAGCTGTGGTCCTTGTCTAGGCATCTTCTTGACTAACTTCCCCTTTCTAGAACTCCCCAGCCTCTGGGAAGGAACATTTTCTCTTCAACACTGAGAGCACCACTACTTACACTTCATATGTAGGTAACAACAAATGCCGATTGTCTTCAGTATCTTAGCTTTACTGTACTTAGTGCAGTGGTCTTCCATGATCCATTAATTGTCTTCTGTGTTTCAAGCACAATGGGGAACCATCACCCAGTGCTACTCCACCAATAAACACATAAACTTGACAAATGATTAAGGATGATTTAATATACAACCAGTCTCAAGTCTATTTTTTCTCCATCCTTTACATTTTGTGGTAACTCATATCTCATAATAACTCAACTGCATGGCTACTAATATGAACGGTATACTAGAAACACAGGTCAGAACTTTCATTAGGCACAGAGAGCTACTAAGTCCCAAAATAGCATTCTCCAATACTTTCCCAAGTATACATGAGTTGGTACATTTCTTATTCTAAAGTGTAGATAAGAATACATTTGGTATTTGGTAAACATTGAATTCACAAAGAAGTGGGAGCCCTAAAATCTCTTCTTTGAGCATGGGATGTCCAGTCCCACTTCAGTCCAATACAACATATAGAGTCAACATCTACAGAATTAGGAATCTCTCACAACAGCCCTCTGCTCAGCTCCAGTTTAAAGAAAAATTAATTAAATGAACCCATAAGGAAGTCAGGGTCTCTCTCCATAGAAACTGTGCTTTTCCTCAGAGGCCCAAGTATTTGTCACAGGCTCAGGTGTGCTCACACATCGCCTCTTGGAATCTCAGTTCTAAGATTCTGAAGAAAGATGGACCATGACCTGTAATACCCTATCTAATTGTACAATGCAGTCTTCAGAAGAAAGAAATTCCACCTGAGCCTCCAGGCAATCAGTCTGAAAGTCCTAAAAATACAGCCCCAAATTACTCTGGGTGTCTTATTCTACAGAATACATTTTACCAGGGACATTCCACTTGGGGCTGTAATTCTGGACTTGCTTCACATTTGTAACAAACCCACTGGAAAATCTCTTTTCTAATCACTGCTCTCTGTTTTCAGTGACACTGCCACCTTCCAAGAACCCACAACCTAAAATCACTTTATATTTCCTCTCTGCCACTGCCTCCCAAGCCTTAGAATGTGGTGGTTTGTTTTGTTTTGTTTTGTTTTGTTTTGTTTTTTCTACACTAGGTATCCCTATGGTTCAAAGATTTTTCTTTCCTATTTTGTGCTTTTGGCGAAATTTTGTAAAGTGATTTAGGCCTCTCTTTTCTACTCTCTTTGTCAGTTTCTTTCCTTACTCCTAGCTTATAAAACTTATGTTGAATTGCTTGGAGTATTGGAATTAATGAAGGAAGATCCAAAGACTGCTGGGGTGCGTCCATCTAAATCCCAATCATTCAAGTCTATTTAATCTCCACGAATCTCTTGATTCTGTTAAAAATGAGGTCAATGTCAGCCCATGAGTTCAGAAGGAAAATATGACAACAAAGTCTTCAGTATAACTGATAGAGGAAATACCCAGCATCTCCTAAAATCAGACCTGAGAGTCGGACACCTTCCGGCGGAGTGACTAAGTTCACCATACAAAACACGCAGACATAGCACGGGTGTTGAATCCACCAGGAGGCAAGTTTGTATGTAGCGTAGTGTAGAATTTTGTGGTGTAGAATTTTGGAATTGTTATGGTCCTTGTCTTTGTAATCTTGGAGCTCACATTTAACAAAGGAAGACAGGAAAGTCAAAATATAAATGTGCTGATTTCAGATAGTAGGAATTATAAAGAAAAAGGTCAGAATAACAGATTAGACATCACTGGATACTCATGAAAGCCACCTAAGAAGCAAGGATCTGAAGCAAAAAGAAAAGGATTGTATGGGTCAGTCTAAGTAGAAGGAACAGACACAGGTCATGGGGACCAGCCACGTTAGGATAAAGTGTGTTTGCTAGAAGAACAACTTTCAATACTGTACTTAAACTAGAAAGCCATTAGAAAGCTTAGGTAAATAATGCATATTCAAGCTTTCATATGACACCATTTGATAAAAATGGTGAAATGAAAACCTCTAGTATTTGATAAATGAAAGAGACATGGTATTCATCTAGGACCAGAAGTGTGTTTCTAAGTGCAGAAGAACAAAAAATGAAATTTTGAGAGTGATGGAAATTACATAGCATACACATTTGTCAAAATTCACTTATGCTTTTTATGTACGTTTTATTTCAATAAAATTGATTTTTTTAAAATGGGCTACTAAAAAAATTTAAATAAAAAATTAAAATCAAATAAAGGCCTACCATGTGAAGTATGGATTGCCAGGTAGAAATGGAGAAAGGTTTTGGTCATTAGCAGCCTATCGCAGAGGATCAAGAAAAAAGTAATTACAGCTTGGATTACCATAGTCAAAAGGAAGGAGGTTTATACTATATCTCTATTTTGTGGTATAATAATACAGATTCGTGATTCTGGGTTGGAGTTAGGAGAAAGTGCCTTGCACAGTGATTTGCTAAGAAGAACCACTTTCAATAGTCCTATCATGATGTTTTTGAGAAGAGACAAGCTTGTTTAGGTGAAATGGTTAATAGTCTTTCTCATAAGCAGTGATTTTCAAGTTATCTGCTAGGTATAGAAGAAGTTATTAAGGTGCTAGTATCTTTAAACATCATAGTTCCAGAGCCTGGAATAGCTGGGTAGAAAGCTGACCCATTTTAATGGCAGTGTCACATACATTGACCACTATAGACATTCAATAAATACCTATTAAATTTACTTAGTTTATCACTGGCTCCGTGAAGTCTGTATCACAGCTGGCTATTTTTCTCCCTGTAAGTTGCCGGTACTAATGACAGAGTCTGAGTAGGGCCTGGGATTTAATACTGCTTCCCTGATGCACAGTGACAACTTAAATATCCTCTGCAAGTAATGAGGTCAAGCTATAGCTGCTGGCATCCTTTCGAGAAAGATGGTGACCCACCTACTGCTATGTGAGATGAACCCGAGAAGAGACTACCCCAGTATTGTGTGCTAGAATGAAGCAGAGTGAAGCAAACCTCAAAGCCAGAGCTGTGGCGTGGCATCAATAATAGATGCACATACAGATGAGACACAGATAGACACACATACACTCACCTTAATACTTTCCCACTCTACATCCAAGTGATCTTTCCTACACTAATGGCTCATTTAGATCATCTTAAAGATAACTTCTGAGCTGTTTTAAAGAACACACTGTTATTAACAACATACTTTGTTTCACAGTTAATCTCGTCCTCCTATATTTCTGTATTCACTAGAAATCCATTGGTCTCTTGAATATGTCATTATCATCAGAGTCAATAATATGGAACTAAGAAATAATTTTTAAAAATCTAGTCTCAGGCAAGTACACTGAAAACTCCTTGATAGTATTCTCCAACTTTCATCTTTCCCTTGGATATCATTCTGTCATTGAGTATATAAATGATTTCCTGCTGAAATATCTGATAAAGAAATAACAATGTAGAAAGCCAGGATTTAAATGGGGACATGCATGTCCCCAGTGTTTTAGGAGTAATAAAATAAATATCTTAGGCTTGCTTTGAATGCACATGGCTGCTGATTCTTTGTCTGTAAAGTGCAGATGGCTCTGGATAATAAATAACCAAGTGAGACTGTGTGCCAATAAAGCATTCCATCGCAAAGCAAATGCTGGGCTACACTTCCCTACTGGCCACAAGCTCTTCCAGGCCAGGCATTACAGATTAAAAAAAAGGGGAACTGAACAGAACATAGAGAGGAAGCAAACGGAAGCTTTAATCAATGATTCTTAACTCTTTGTTGGGTCATAAACTTCTTTCAAAATGAGATGAAATGTATCTACAGGAAAATACACAATCCCACATTCAGTTCACCAATTTCAACAGATGAATGTGTGTATCATTAGTTCTGTGGCTGATGGTTTATCATGAATTTTAAGAAAACTCAGGAAACAGCCTCACCATAGATGAAAACCATCATATTTCCCTCAAACCGGAGGTAGTCATCCAAAGTTGAGATGAAGGGCTAGGGATATAGCTCAGTGGTAGAGAACACAGTTTATCACAAAAACAAATGGAAAAACCCATCACCACCACCACCCAAAAGATGAAACAAATGGAAACGAGTCAGGCTAGAACTAAGACACTTGCAAGGGTGCAAGGATCAGGGACATGTTCCCATCTCTTTAACAGCAAATGATAAGACTCGCTGTTTTTCCCCTGTATAGATTCTGCCCATCTTTTCCATCAACTAAACAGAAGTTCCACAAGTATCTCCAGCACCTCGTGGGACAGCACCTCCAGGACTTCACTGTCTCAACGTGCAGGACTCACCAGCAAACAGTGCACTGGGTCCCCCCGGAGGTCTGCATCTGGAGCCTGCAGCAAACGCCAGTCTCTGCCTTTGTTGTAAGTGATGAATGTCTTCACTTGGTTGTCAATCTTCTTGTTAGCCAAGAACATTCCCTTTATCCCTGCTACCTGGGAAAAATTGACATGGCTGAAAAATACATCAATTTGAGAAAGGACACATTTGTTTTCCTTAACATAACAAAAGACTCTCAAATTCCTCTATTAGAGGAAAGGCAGGATAGTAAATGCTTACATCTACCTTCCAAGTCTGCTTGACAGAAATCAATGGCCTTGCGCCCCCTGCTGTATGTGAATATAGCACAAGTCTGACAGCAGCTTTTTTTTTTTTTTTTTTTTTTTTGGCTTTTGCTAATGATGTTAATAACAGATTTATTCAATCTCCAAAAATAAAAAATTGACAAGGTGTCCACTATGACAAAGAAAGTAAAGTAAATAGTGGCATGTACAAAACATGGGATATTATTTGGCACTAAAACATGCCGTCAAGCTATAACATGATAAGGGGTAGAGTCTGGTGGGGAACCCAAACATCTTAGAAATTCAAGGATATTGAGCCACAGAAAGACCAGCAGTTTCCAGGGTCTAATTCAGAGGGAAGAGTAAATAGGTAGAGCATAAAGGATTCTAAATGCAGTGGAATTACCATGTTTTGACCACATAGTGATGGATGGATGTCACTGGATATTTGTCAAGTTCATGAAATGTAAAACTGAAACTGGTCCTTTATATAACCTGTGAACTGTCAGAGGCTTATCGACTCATGGCAGATTGCCTGCAGCCATCAATCTCCAGAGAGAAACTCCAAAACTTTCAATGAACACAACTTACATTGTATGGTAGATTCCATGCAGGATATTAACTATATTATCTTTAATTTAACCTTTATAATGTTTCTTTCAGGAAATGGTTGCTGATTTTATTACACATAAGAAACATCCCAGGTACATCCAAGGCCATTCTATCAATGACACAGAGTAAGTGTCAGACCTGGGATTGTGACCCAGAACTCTGCAGTTTCAGAGTGTATGGTTTTAATGACTATCTGAATTATTGAGGCACTTTCAGCCCTAAGCAACTTATATAGGCCAGTGGAAAGAGTCTGATATAATTAGCATTGTTGCATTTAAAATAAATGAGCGTTCTTCTTGTTAACTCACCAAATTTCCTGGGCATTAAAGACAAAAATTAAGACATGAAAAAGTAATTTTTGTTTTATTATCAAAAACAGCTCCTTCAGTCTCATGCTGTTGTTGTTCTTATCAAAATCAGTTGCTATCAAGGCTGGAGAGATGGTTCAGTGATTGAGGTTGCCAGTTTATCATCTGGAAGACCCTTGTTTGGTTCCTAGCATCCATATGGCTGCTCACAACCATCTGTAACTCTAGTTCAGCAGTTCTGATGTCCTCTTCTGGACTCCACACATGTGGTATCCAGACATGCATGCAGACAAAACACCCACACATGTTGAATGATAACATCCCACATATATCCACACTCATTCATTCAATGTCCATTGCACCATGGGATAGAGTTGTCAGGACCATATCTTCAGGATGAGAAAATGGAGACTTAGATTACATTTGCAGCTAGCAGGAACATACACAGAGAATAAACAAATGTGCTTAAAGACATCT